ATCCATTCAATCATATATTCTATTTGTTTTATTATCGAGATCTTTATTTCTATCTGTCCTTTCTCGAACTGTTATGTCAGGATCACAATGTGTACATTTTCCATTTTAAATTTTTTTGCCATAACTTAATTTAGACCAAAGTTGTAATTTCACCCAAATTAAATAATAAAAAAATTTTTTATTCTAAGCATGTGTTGTGTAACATTTATCTTTTTTATTATAATACGAATTATAATGTCTGAATATATGAGTGACGTGAAATAGAAAATCTGTAAATCATTTTACTCATTATCATCACAGTGAAGAAGTCCTCAAGAGTAGAATTCATTGTGATAATAATAATCTCTTTCATGTCACTCATATTGTATAGCACAAATTAATATTCATACCCCGAATTATAAGTCACGAGTTTATAAATCTCTAGTAGAATAAAAGTAGAGCAGCTATGTGAACTTATGCTTATAAAACTTTATCATTACATTTACATTAATCACTTTCCTAAATATATAACAATAAATCAACTAAAACATTGGTCTGTGATTATGTGAACGAAACATTTTCCAGTTTTCTGTCCATGTAGGTTCTTGCTACACTTCTCACAACAAAATAAAAATCTGGATAAATCTATTAACTAAGATAAATGATTTACAAGAGTCTCTTGATAACTCAATTCTATCTACTTCAGTTCTAGAGAATTGGTTGCAAAGGTTTAAAATGCCATAATCAATATTTTCTTTGCACTATCTAGGAAGCACGTTTAAGAGGGATATATCTTCAATATCTTCAAGGTATGTATGATACAGGAAATTGACCATACTCGTGCAATATATACCTGTATGTAGCTATTTTCTGTAAAGAGAGTGTGTAATTAAAAAAAAAGAAAAGTTAATTTACTTTACTGATTAATTAACAATTATATTTTATGAATTAAACTATCTATAACTGGAGGTGATAATTATATATTATGTAATGATTATTATATTTTTAATAAAATCATTGAGGTTCTCACAAAACCATACCTAAGAATGGTTACACTTTTCTCACCAAATTGATTGGAATGCCTCTTGGTTATACTTTAACAATAATCAAAAAACTTCTTATAATTTTACCAATCCTAAATTAAACCATTTAAAATCTTTTAAAATCAAAATGTTACTTAATATATTACCTACACATGCATATCTTCATAATATTTATCCTTATATTTTTACATCTCCTAACTGCTATTCCTGCAATAACTTAGAATCTTCTTCTCATTGGTACACTTGTCCCAACCACACTCCTTTAATCCAAATTATCAACACATCAATACATGATACTTTTACTAATGCCAACCTCAATCTCTCTTCTCATCAACTTAACAACCTCATACATACTATCTCTTCACATCCTGCCTTCAATCTTCAACCATCCCAACTATACCCCTTCTTTCTCAATTCTACACTTAAAGGCCTTATACCCATATCCTTAATCCAATCTCTAGATCCATTCGAAATCTCATATTCCAATGCTTCTCAACTTATTATTCAGCTACTTCTCAAAATCTCTAATCAACTTTACAGCAATATCTGGATTCCATACTGCACCAACTTTTCTAACTAGAAAAAATCTCACCAAATTCCTTCTTACTCCAACTATAATACTCCACCACATTCTTCTCTACACTCAATCAATAGAAGCAACAAAACTAATTATACTTATAGTTGTCCTTGTGGCTCTGCTGACCAACTACATTCCGAAACCAATATTTGTCCTCCTCTAGGACAAGCTACCCTTAAAATCAATACATGGTCCACTATGTAGATTAAATATAATACACCTATTAACCAAATCCTAACAATTCAAACCTAGGTGAGTCTTGACCACTCTAGTAGATTTAGGTCGCAGATAATTAGTTTAGCTTTTAGATTAAGCTTTTAGTCTGAGCTTTTATTCTTTCATATAATTTATATTTATTTGTTATTATACAAATTAAGTCTTTATATAGTTGATATGTAATTACTTATATAAATTAATCAATAAAGATATGAGCAAGGCCTTACCTTAATATCAAAAAAAAAAAAAAAATTATTTGGGAGCAAATGACATTTTATAGAACACGAAGTGGTATATTTAATATTAAGCTTGCATGGGATACAATTAACAAAGTAGATCCAATTACATAGTGGAATAGAAATTTTAAGTTAGTAGTACCTTAACTTGCTAAATTAGCTATTAGAATACTTAGTATTCCATGTTTTTCTGCAGCCTCTGAATGAAATTGGTCTGCTTTTTCTCATATTTATTATAAGAAATAAAGTCGATTAACACCTGATTATGTTTTAAAGCTTGTATATATTTACAGCAATTACAAATTAACTCAACCATGTGAAAATTTTCAAAAAACAACTAGAGTTCTTGAATATTTAAATTCAGTAGAATTAGATAACAATAATCATGAAGTAGAATTAGCTAGAAGTCTTAATGAATCTTTTAATAACACAGGTGAAATTGAAATAGTCACAATATAGAAACATTTTCAGATTCTGACGATGAGAATTATGTTAGTATTAATGAAGACAGTGATTTTATTGTTCTAGAATCAGAAAGTGAAAATGAAGGTAGAATGACTAATAGGGAAAATAATAGTAATAGAGAAGAGAGTGATGAAGAGAAGATAGAAAGTGATGAGGAAGAAGATAGAGTAGAAAGCAAAGAGAAAGATAAAAGCAATGAAGAAAATACAAGTGATGAAGAGGAAAGTAATAAAGAAAAAAATAGAGATAACAAAGAAGAAAGTAATAAAGAAGAAAATAGAGATAACAAAGAGGAAAATATGAGTGATAAATAATAAATGTAAGCTTTATTAAATTTATACATATTAGAATTATTATTTTTAAATATATAATTAAAATTTACAATATTCAAATCAATATATTAATAATTTTTATATTTAAATAACACTAATAGACTTCGCTTTGCTACAATATACTTCAAGCCAAGCCAATTTCTTTTATCAAATAGATTTTATTGTCACATATGTTTGAGAATTTATAAAATAATGCAGTAATGATAATTAGTGTTAAAATGGCAAAGCAAATATATAAATTGTAATAGGTGGATCATCGTAATATTCTAAGTAATCTTTCAATGCAATAAATACTAGCTTTATTATATTTGAGACTTATGCTATAAGAGTGTATATGACCTTTAAATTATATATTTGAAAGACATTAATGAATAGAATTCTTCAATATTAAGCTTGTCAGAACATGCTAAGTTTTCTCTACTAGACAGATAACTATTAATTATTAATCAAAACTATTTAATTTTTTAAAGTAAGTTAAATCACTATTTTATTGTACGGATATACATAATTATATATTAACATAAATTTATTGTTACAAAGGTTATGTACCAATTTGTAAAATGTAGCAAGCACAAGCTTACAATATATGAATTAACTCAAAATACAAAAGCTAATAGACAACTATAGTACCTCAGCATGTTAAAAATCATTACAAGTTGTTCATTTGACTTGGATTTTTTGATTGGTATTCTTTATGCAGCCTTGATTTGTGCTAAGTTCTTTTATATTTAAACTGTTTCATTACTATATATATTATTATTTTAATTAAAGAGTGTTATACATTTATATATACTATAGGGTACTAATCGTTTTTTCAAGTTTCAATGTAAAAACATTTTGTGAATTAATTCAAATAAATATTGTCAATAATCAATTGGCTCAACAATTTATTTATCAAGTGTGGGTATTATTATAAGTGCGATAGCTCTGTTAGGTGACAAATTGAAAAGAAATTTTATAAAATATTTAAAATACCAATTTTGCAAGCTTATGGTAAAAATTTTTATTATTAGATTGTTTGAACTAAGTGTAATTCCTTCTTGGTTCTTATTTTGAATAGTCTTTATTATTTAGCATAACAATAACAAAAAACTTAGCTTCAGGTATTATATAAATGGCATGCTTACTGTATAACGAATGGTTCATAGTTTACTAAAGTAACTTATTTTTTAATAGGTTCTGTAGGATTCTTATATGAAGTATAATAATATAACAATTTTTAAGTAAGCTAAAATTTTAATTGTTATATACATCTAAAAATCTGATTAACAAGATCTTGAACTTACTTCATATGAAATTCCGAAACTTTCAAATTCTGACAGTTCAAGTTCACAACATATAAAACTTTAGGGTTAGTAGAATTTATTATTATTAGGATTTTGTATTAATTGCAGTTCTGCTATGTAGTCTAATTTAGTACTACTATATAAGCGTGAAATAATACTCGTAGGCATATTATGAAAATCGGGTTCTTCAGAAATAACTTATATAGTTTCGAATTAGCGCTCATGAGAATTGCACATTCTAATATAGCACATATTTTACTGTTGCGATATATTCTATAAGTGCACTTTGTATGCACTTTCCCTGTAATGATAAATGTACATAATTTGATCGATCTAATATAATTATTTTATATTATATATAGATTATTCTCCATAATGAATATTTTATAAATGTACCTTTACCAACAATATGCATTTATTGAAGGCTGACTATATTGGATTTAGAAAATCTTCGAATGGGCATGTTCAAAATAATGTGTAGGTTAATTAATTAGAGCACAGATAGGCGTTATTTCGTGCTTGTACAGTATGAAAACCTTGTACTAAACTTATGCTTACTGTATATTCTATTCATTCTAAGAATAATTTTAATAAAACATTGCGATTATAAGGCATTAATTAAGTCATTACCAAAAATCACTAAAATAGAAAATGCCAATGGAACTAAGCCAAAAAATATATACGTGGCATTAATACACCAAACTTTCTGAGATGGATGATCCTTATAGAACATTTGTGCTTGATAATCGCTATTAAGACAAAATTAAGATTATATATTATAAGCTGCTAGAATTTATAAATGCTAATAGGGTGATAGTGTCAGATATTGTTATAGAAATGGAGGAGCCAAAAAGTTAAGATATAAAGCATTCAAACCTGCTAAAATTGGTGATCTGTAATATCTGTTTTTTTCCATTTGTTTGTTATTTGTATTTCAACAAAAATAAAGGTAATCTTATATTTAAAACATGATAAACAAACGATTACAAGCATGTTGCGTGGCCAAGAAAAAAATCCTCTGTAGTTCAAAATTCTTCACTATATCAAGAGTTTACAAAAATAGAAGTAAACTGTATTTGGGCAGACTGGATAGTTTCATTATTTTGTTCTGTAAGTATATTTTAAAACTCTACAATCTTTTATAGTTTGTTCAAATAATTTATTTGTGTTATTTGGTTTATAAATGCAGATTCATTTATAAATCTAATTATAGCAGAAGTTTACTACAATAAACTTCTTTAAAAATGATCCTTGAATATAACAACTGTGAAATTTGGAAAGTGTAGATTTGTATATTTAGTGATTTTTATTATTTATAAAATTCAAGCTTTACAATTATTATTTAGTTTAGCTATTTATTCTGTTAATAATAGTGGTTTTGTTTTTTAGAAAAGAATTAAGAAATTTACAAAAATGATGATAATAATAAAAGAATTAATAAAAAGCATAAAGAATAAAAATGATTTAAATTTTCTGGATTAAAATTTTATATAACTATGCTTTTAATTGGTAGTTATACTAGGACTTTGTATCATGTTGAATATTGCTATAAAAATAGAAATTGTGATTAGAAAGATAAATTAAAAAATTCAACAAGTTGCAATTTTGATATATAGAATCTTTAATATTAAATATAAAAAATAACTTATTATATTAAATATATTATTATTCTATATAATTTGACATATAAAAATAAAATTATTAATTTTGAAACTTTTAATAGTAACAAAATAATAAATTAAAAAGTAAATAAAATTTTTTTGTGTAGATGCATATTGCATAAATGCATGCATGCTGCATGAATGCTGCATTTGTATGAAATTTTTTAAAATGCTGCATTTTGCCTATCTCTAGCTATTACACTTTTTGACACCGAATTCAGACAAAATAATATTTAATTTCAAACAAAATGATATTTAATTTCAGACAAAATAATATTTAATTTCATATAAAATGACATTTAATTTTATACAAAATAATGTAACTAGTGATTTTCTGCTTCGGAATTACAGCTGTTTTCATAAATTCTGGGACACCCTAAAAAATTTGCAGAGTATATTTGGCTGAATTCAATATGTTATTTATCTCAGTGCTATACATATATAAATACCAGGAACGGAGTGATATTAAAAATTTCACATAGTGTATAGTTATACAGCAAATTAAATGGCAAAATCTTGCTTCTTATTGGACATGTGCATATGGTGAAGCAAAGATGTGAATGCATATTAGGACTTCACATGTTGCACCTTCACAGGGCATGTGCAGCATTTTCCTGCTTATTCTATGACCTATTCTATTTTAGCAGTTAATTAAATCTGAAAAATCTCACAAAAGAATTATTTAAAGCAGAAAATAAATGTGACTATAAGCATAATTACAAATGTTATAACAAATGATAGTCAAAACATTGGTTTTAGTTATAAATTTCAGTGGCCCAATGCAAAATTGCATACTTATTTACTGAATTTTTTAGCATTTTTCATTTTTTTCTATAGGATTTTTTACTAGGTTGATAAAATGATAATCACTAATTATATTAAAGATAAACAAAAGAATTTGTTAATCATTTCTAAATACATAGCATTAATTCTGGCTCTATTCACTGTCACTGATTATTTAAATGATCTATTACTATTAAAAAATGTTTAACACAAATAGAGTCATATAGGTTTAGGATGGATCTACTTAAAAAAATAAATCATTTTGTAACTATTTTGTAAAAATAATAAAAAATCGTTATTTGATTGTTGTAAATTTAATAGTTGCTGTAAAGTCTAGATTAAATTCTTGCTTTTTCAGGAATTAAACCTGTTATGTAGATCATATTGGTGTGAAAATAATACTGTACTATTGTATAATACTCATTTTAAACTATTCTGTTAAATTAATCTAAATTTAGATATACACAATATTAATATATACTCTATATACATATGTATGTATCTTTCTTTGGATATTAAGGATAACATATAATACAACTATTAGCAGAGTGTTACTTGATAATTTTAGGTTAGGGTGTTCAATTGACTAATTAATTAAAACATATATGATAATCACTAAGTTCAGATTTTTTACTAGTAAATAATTTAATTATTTTTTTATAAGATTAAATTACATTTATTAATTTAAATAAAAATCAAATTAAATAAATTTTTTTTTAATATAAAGCATTAAGTTTGTGTTATATTGAAATAGAGCCATTTTTTAAAAATTCATAACAAATTATTAAGATATTAATAACTAAATTTATTGAAAATTTTGATATTTATTTTTTAAATTTTAAAAACTTTTAAAAAATAGCACTATTTCAGTATAAAGCAATATTAAAGCTTCAAATTAAAAAAAAATAGTATATGATTTAATTTATTATTAGCTTCAAAATATGTAAATTAGCTAAATGATTTGATTTAATGTTTTAATAATAAATATATGATATGCCAAGAATACATGTCGGGTTTTTAAATTTATAGTTCACTAAATTCAATTTATAATACATTTGCATATAGATCTAGTTATAACCTATAAAAAATCCAAACTTAAATGATCATCAATTATGACCCTAACTATGTTTGATTAATTAGTTAATTAAACACCCTAATGTCAGATTTACCAAAATATAATTACATGAAATGTAATAATATTTAACTTTTTGGTCATGGCTAGAGGTCAGAACTGGTTAAAAAAATTTGACTA